TCAGAAGAATTTGCTGATCACAGACCACTGCAGGCCAGAAGAGCTCAGAACTGGTTCTGGGGTTGCAGAAGACCTCTAAGATCATCAACTTCAACCTCTTACTGGTCACCAACTTATTGATAGACCTATGACACTTAGTGCCACATCCAGTTGTTTAACACCTTCAGGGATGGTGACTCCACAAACTCCCTGGATAGTTCATTCCAGTGAATTCCAGTCTAACAATCTGTTCTGAGAAGAAATTCCTTCTTAAAGGAAAGGTCTGCTTAGGACCACTGTTTCTAGGGTGACAAAGAGAATTGGCTGAAGTAATAATAATCTTCAATGTTGGCCACCATGCAGGTTAGTAACTTCAGTTTCAAAAATGTTGTTCCACTGAAGTTGTTATTCAGACAAGAAAAATAAATTTCCAAAGTGGTTTGTGCTAGACAGCACAAGTTCTTGGGAGCAGCCACTATTTCTAATAGGATCAAGAGCTTAGTCCAGGTGCTGTTTGTCAAGGCTGAGGTCTAATGAGCATTTCTGAGATCACAGTGCAGCCCGAGGGGCAGGGAGCAGGGGGAATGCACCACCACACTTACTCAGTGTTTTTTGCTTACTGCATGGAACATATTTTAAAATATACATTTTAAAAAATGAAAATGACATGCAACTTGCAATTGTTTTTCTTGGCCCTGAGGGAAAATCGGTATCTTCACTTTAACAGTAGTTACTGTCAAAAGACGAAAGAGCAATAGTATTGGAAAGGGAAAATAAATTTTGAACTGGCATAAGAATTTGCTTATTTTCAAACTTGTTGAGGGTTTTCTTTTTTAATAATACTATATTGATGTTGAGAAAGAAATAATGGCTTCTACTGTCCTTTAAATATTTTAAATTAGTAAGCTGGTACAAGAATGACTTGGTACTGTGTAATTTAACTGTATATGAGGAGAATAACCTGCTCTAAAAGATGATGGACTGTCTGTTAATTACTTTTTTCTGAAGTGAGGTACATGAATTTTAAATTAAGGGAAAACTTGGTGCAGGCACAGCCATAAAAAGTGATTATTTTTTTAATTAATAAGAAATCTTATACCTGTAAGACTACTGTAAGCCTCTGAGGATCATGAAAAGCAGAAGTAGTATGTCTCTAAATAAAATATCCATGCACATTCTCTCCCAGTCACTGGAAGTAATATTCCTGTCAGGCAAACACAGCCATGCAGTCTCAGAATGATTAGATAAATGATTAGATACAGAGCAGTAAGTCCATATAAATTAATTTCCATTGACTCCCTTTACTCCTTATTTGCATGAACAAAGTAGATGGTGATTTTATATTCTAATGGTCAAGTCTAAATGGCTTTGAGTAATGTTTTATTTATAGAGCACTTGGTTGCCAATAAGGTGAGTTAAAGTGCAAATTGTGGTCAGGATTAAGAGTGACTTTTTCACAGCTGGTAAAAGAGCACAAGTAGCGAGGTCTGGGTGCATGAATAAAGTATACACTGGTAAGAGGAGTTTTGCTGCTGTACCTCAGACTGTCCCCCATATGTGATGAGTCAGAATTTGTTCTTGGAATCTGAAGAAATGTTGTGTGATTCTCGAGTCAAAAACAAATTGAATAGCATAGTGATGACAAATCTCATTCCATGAAGTATGGTCTTGATTTTGAAGAGATGTATCAGTGTATAAGTGGCAGCTTCCTCTTAATACTGAGGAGCATTTCTGGAGTATGATCAACATGATGAATCGGATCTACTCAGAAAGAGTTGTTTTGTAAACATTGAAAGCTGAAGAGGTGTATGTAAAATCAACAGTGATTTTGGTTCATATAATGTGCTTTTTATGTTACACATGAGGTTTACTTTCTATAACCACAGCTTTTTTCCTAAATTAATCTTTTTCTTTTTGCTTTATTTAAGTCTATGTGAACAGAACCAAAAAGGGACCAGGAAACAATCATATCATTTAACTAATCCTCTCCAGCAATATTAGTACAAGTTATTGATACATTAATCACTTCAATAGTGGAATGTCAATAATTCCAATTGCTCTTCATACATCAACTGGGCTAAGGTTTTGTGGCAGTTAATATTAGAAATAATATTTAGTTTAAATCCTCAATTGAATTTAATTATAAACTTGTTTGTGAAAAAAACAGCTGCACCTTTTCCTCATCTCTGTTAGTCTGCCATTTGAAATAATGCAGAAGTTTTCTTTAATGGGCGGAGTTATCAAAAGTTTTACACATGTAATCATACAATCTTTCTTCATTTGTTTGCCATTGAGTGATCTTCTCCAGTCTTTTAGACAGTAGTGAGAAAAACTATGCATCTCTGTCTTTGCAGAGAGTATTAATTGCATTCATAATTATCACAATAGATAAATAGTTTGTGGGTAAATTACACAGCAGATCAATCATCATTACACTTCCAAGTGTATGATTAGGAAAGAAATTTGGCTGTTAGCCATCATAATGACATGGCTTAACTAAAGTGAGCAGTCTTGAAGCAGATTGGATCAAAATTTTCTTTCCCCAGGGAATAGAAGTCCCGAGGTATGTTCTAGGCAGCTGATATGATAAATTTTTCAATACTTTTTTGTGCCAAGCAGGGATTGCAAATATACTATTTTATACCTTTCACAGAAAGAGATCAAAGGAGCATCTTCTTCATATTTTCATTCTTTGGGTTTTTCCATTAATGTACCTTCAAGATAGTGAGTACTAATTCCAGTAAAGTGATCTTCATGAAATGGAAGCCTCCTCTTCTGGAGGTGAAGTTTTGTTGAGTTGGACTTTGCTATAAACCTTTGTAAAATTCAGGTCTGCTGAAAACTGAACTGAACCTCTTCTTACTGTTAAATGAAGAGGAAATAATGTAATGTGAAAAGACCTATACTGCAAGAGTATAGTATTGCATATATGGAAGCTAATATACAAGGCAGGAGGTATCCTGCCTTCATGTTAAAAACGTAAAAGTTAAGCCACTTTCCATTACAAGTGTAGCATTTCTGTCTCAAAAACAGGTTCCATGCAACTGAGATGATGAGTTTTAGAACAGAGTGAGTGAGGAGCATAGGGTTGGGAGCCATGCAAGGGACAAGAAACAGCAAGGAAGCCAGTGGATGACAGTGTCACTTGAGGGGGTGGAAGTATTATCAGAAGTTGGAAGAATGCAGCATGTTAGTCAGAGTGAAAGGAGTAGGCAACAGTAACTGAGGTGTGATAACAGAAAGGAACATAAGAGACAGATGTGTATTGTTCTGGAGATTGAAATAGAACAGCCTAGGCAAAGCAAACTTGAAAATAATGTATTTTCTTGTGATAGTTCTTGTGATTAACTTGTGCAAGGAACAAGAGTTTCATACCTATCACTAAAATTCAATTTTTTTCCTTGTGTTGAGAATCCTGTATTTTTTATAAAGTCATATGCTTTATCACTGTGTATCTTGCCTTAGGCACAGCCAGCTTCTTACAGATGAAATGTCTACAGACCAGTGGTAAATATATTTATCCCTCTGAACCTTAGGAAGGGATGACCTCTCTATCTAATAAAATTCAGAACACATATATATGGGAAACAAATACATTGTTGGAAGATATATTAGCTCAAGTCTTTCTGGTTCTATCACTATTTTACAGACAGTAAGAACATCAAGATTGCAAAGAATCGGTACACAGTCAGCAAAATATAAAAAACTGTTTGTGGATTGTGGATTGTTTGGGATTTTTTTTAGTCATTCATATGGGCTTTTTTTTTCATTAAGAGGTCTTTAGTAATTTCAGATCATTGAACTACATTCCTAGACTTTCCAGATATTGACTACTGCATAATTGATAATCTCAATATTACCTATTTGATTTTTAAGTTAACAGCTCTGAAATTGCTATAAGTATAAATTTCCTGACATGGAGTTCATTGTGTTATTTGATTCTGAAAGAGAAAAAAGATACAACATGTTCAATACTGTTTAAACTTTCTCTTAATATGAAAATGTAATACGTTTGTTGCACTGTGTTGAAGTATGTTCATTGTACAAAAAATATTTTGTTTTATATATATATAACTCTATATATATTATAACTCTAGAAGAGTCTCAAACTCTTCGGTAATGGAATATGCCATCTAAAATTTGTAAAATTTTAGCGGCCTTCTTGATGCAAATAGAGAAATAAAGTCTTAGACAGTTTGTTTTGTTTCAACCATTTGCTAATATTGTCTTTAATGTTCTCTGAAATTAATTGATTCATTTTATTAACCAGAGACAATCACTTGATCTGTCACATTTTACAGACTATGTAAGACTCTGTGTAGATTATATTTCTCCACTTGAATCTAGAAGGATGAGGAAATTTTGAAAGTTCTAAATGGCATATACCTCTGATGAAGAGTTTGAGACTCTCTGTTTTTAAAAAAAGTCTCAGTTTTAAAAACTGGTTTTATAAGCCTTACTCTACTAGGAGAAAGGTGAGGTCAAAAATATCATTGTATATATTGTATCATTGTATTCCGGACCACAAAACCAACTTCATTCCTTTGCAGAAAAGGGGAAGATTATGGCATACCTTTCTAGCTCTCCAATCCAAAAAATATTCTCTTGTAGGAAAAGTATAAACAAGAAATATATAAACAAACAGGTAGTTAAACATGAATTAATACTGTAAAACTGTTAAGATTAGTGCCTGTCTTAAAGTAATTGCTGTAATGATCAGTAGTTATAATAGAAAAATAGAAATTGGAACTGCACTGATTGAAAACTTGTATGACAGATACATGGAGATGCTGGGAATTTGGGTTGTTTCAGTTTGTTATTACTTCCTGTAATTACCTCAGCACACTTGAAAAGGCATAATTAAGTATGACATTAAAAAAAAAATCTATCATCATCATATTAAAGAATTCATTCTCTATTGTAGGTGAAAGCTACATTAGTTTTTAGGAAATAGAAAATGTTATGTCTGATTTTAGTGTCTGTGTCTAGTATTCCATTTTTAACCTGTGCTTAACTTTCAGGAAGAGGAGCCTTAAAGAATACATAGAGATTTTGAAACAAGAAGTGTGAAACAAATCCTTGTCCTGCTCAGGCCCCCCAGCTGTGCAACATGATGTAAGTTATTAAACCATTTGTCTCTTTTTTTCTCTTTGCAGACAATGAAAACATACTGTTTTCTATATGTCTAATAATGCTTTGTTTTGATTAAATTCTTTAACAATCCTGGTGAAATTTTACTTTAAAAGTGAAGTTAATTTAGTAAATACAAGAGATGTTAAAAGACATATAAGATGTTTTGAAAAAAATCAATTGAAACCGTACTTCATTGCTTTTTCAGCTAAAACTGTTAATTAGACTTGTAATACTTTGACAAATTCTTCCAGCTGACCTAACCCTGAGGTATGTGTGACTGCTTATTGTTACTTTCTTTTCATTCTTAGTTTGTGCTTTTACAATATGTTGAGCATTTAGAAAGTAAATGTTCTTGTTACCTGAGGTTCTGTAATCTTGTTGTGTCGTTTAAATAATTTAATCCTTTTGGAGTTGTCAAATTTATGTTTCAGTGTTTGTCCCAGTGGTCTGGAAGGATGTAATCACTAGTGGATCCAGAAAAAGAAGTAATCTCATAGGAAAGAAATCAACAATTTTTGATAAAAGTTTTAGAGAATATGGGGAGATATCAGAGTCCTTAGAAGAAAAGAAATATTTAATTCTGTGAATGAATCAGAAAACTCTGACAAGTTTCAGTTCACTATCCATGTTAACACAGTATTAACACAGAATCTATCTCACAATCTGATCACAAATACAAACTGATATGTGTTACAGTATGATTAACATACATCCATAGTAACTTAAGGAAATATGTAATAGAATTTTTAGAGGAATTTCTTGGCTACCTAGATTTGTAGAACCCCATCTGCAAAAAACAGGAAGGAAATAAGTTGTTTAAGAGCAAGAGGTGGGGATTTGGAATCCTGAGTGGCCTGTATTTGAAGGAAATGTTCCTAGTTCTAATGATTCTCAGCCAAATGACAATACAGGTATTAACTCTATGATAAAGTATCAATTGTGATCAATTTGGATCTTGGTTTTTAGTGTTACTTTGGTTGTTTTCCATACATTAGTATTACTTCAAATATATTTTAACATAATTTCTACCTTCATTCTTATATGATTGTTGTAGGAGCATAAGGACTCGTGGTTCCTCTAGAGTGAGTGTGAGCATGAACTATCACGTGGGAATTGTGCTTTTAGTTATAAACTAACCTTGAGTGTGCTTGTTTTATGTGATCACTGTCTTTTCCTATTTCTTATTCCTTCTTTTGTTGCAGAAAGCCCTATATCCTTTTAGTTTTGCTTTTATCATGCCCAGTATTCCTCCAAAAGGAATGAATTTGAAATCTTTGCTGTTTATTCTGTCTAATCTATGCTGTTTATACAGAACTAGCAATTCTTTTAAAATAAGTTTAGATTGTCACATCAGTCATAATTCTTTTTTAAGCATTTGCAGTTATTTTTTTCTGTGTTAGGCAACTGAAAATGTACTTACAGAAATTAAGTAATTAATTAAATTTTAAGGCATTTGTGAAATTAGCTTCCTTTCCTAGCTATAGTCCTTTTCTTTTCTTTTCTTTTGTACAGATGTAAAATACGTGATGTCCACACAACTATGCTTGCAACTGTCACCCGCTTCAAACTTTTTAAGAATTAACCCTGGGGGTTTGCCGTAAGTATTTTATCTAATACCATTAGCTGTCTTTCTAAATGCAGCTATATTTCTTATAAAAGTCTAAGTCTTAGGTGAAACTTCAATGTTAAGGCTTAAAATGCCTAATTAATGGTTTGGTTGTGTATTAACATTATTTTTAAAATGTGTACAGTATTTTACAACTGATTTCACAGGGCATTGATAATGCAAGCTACTCATAGTCTTTACAAACTGAACACTCTTTTTAAAAATAATTTAAACAGTCTGTCATTTTCCAAAAGCCCCTTAGTTTCTTTTTACTGTATTTTCAATGTACACATTTTGTGTGGTTCAGTCACCTGTGTAAATATCAGCTTTCTCAGAACTGAAACAAGTAAGTAATTACTAACAATTTTATATAAGCATTGTTTTATTCAAAATAACTTTTCACAATTTTACTCAAAAACATGAACCATGAGGAGACTAAAGTACAGATGGTATTCAACAAATACTCTTTGAGTAACTGTGGTTTTGCTGCTTTGCCTGCTACATCTTGCTGATCACTGTACTATCTTAGCATCTATGGAAATAGGTCCTGTCTCTCTTACTGCATTCTTTCAATGGTTCAGGTTTATTATTTATTTATTTACTATTCAGTCTCTAGGAAAATAAGTCAAATTATACATTCTACTTTTTTTCTGAAAGCAACAGAGTTGATAGTTTTTCCAGCTCCCAGGGTTCCACACTGACAAATGTAGGCCGGTCAGATGAACTCTTCATCATTGTTTGTTGGGAGTTTAAAAACAAAACTAAATAAGCAAAGTCAAAAATTCCCCCCAAACCCCGCAATAATTTTCTTCACATTCTAAGTCACTGTTCCTCAAGATGGAAGGTCAATGTCATGGGAAATTGTCTTCATAGTTGTGCTAGCCTGATCTTTTTTGTCACGTAAGCTTGTACACTTGAGGTATTTGAAAAAGAAAATTGAAAGCTGATGTATAACCATATTCAATAGGAAAACAATTATATGAGTGGAGTGATGTATTCTTGGTGACCTGTGTTGCTTAGATACAAACTGTTGTTTTGTCAGTTGATTAAATCCTTGTCTTCTAATAGTTTTTTACTGGAAAGTCCATTGCAATGCCTGGCTCAGGCTTGGACATTACTCCATTAACCATGAGGTTTCTTCAGTCTCACTTCATCCCAGCTAAAATCACTCAGACACCTGTAAGTGAGCATTTCTTACGTAAAATTTCAGTTATTAGTACTGAATTTACCTGGTGCAAGTTGAGTTAGAGTACACATGATCATATAGCGCATTTCTGTTACATAGCCAGTGCACACAAGAAAAGATTTTTAACAGCATTTTACTTTCATATTAAATTAGTTGATATGGGGCCAGGTAAGTAATTTGCCACCAGAAACTGACCCTGTCAGCATTACTTGAACAAATGTAAACCAGTGAAGTAATTTTGTATAGGAACTATTCTGTGTGTCATAGTATTGCATGCTTTTGATGATTTACAAGAAATTATCTGTCTATCTATCTATCTATAGAAATTATCTATCTATCTGTCTGGCTAGATTTACTATCTCAGTGTTTTGAGTTTTTTTCTATTAGTTACTGAAGAATATTTCTAGAATCACAGCTTCCATATTCATCTACAGGTCTGATGCGTTTGTTTTCCCTTGTTTCACATTTTATCTTAATTATTGTAAAATCCTTGTTCTGAACTGAAAAACATAGCCATTGTCCATATGTATTTTTGTAGAATATTGCTGCAGTGTGTAGTTTCTTACATCTCATTTCCATATCCTCCTTTAGACTTGTTTCCAAACTTCTAACTTTAGACCTCAGGTGGTTCCTCCCTTTCTAGCCTAGCAATTATTGCTCTCTTGTTAGACAAATTGTCGAGTGACTTTCTTTTGCTTTCTCTCATGTTGTATTTCACACTTTATAGGAATTTATATAAACATTCAGAAATTCCCTTACATTCCATGGCTTCTTACTGTGACTTTTGTTCCATGTACTCACTAATTCAAGAACTGAATTTCACAAGTGTTCAACCTACTTAGGGAATGTCCTTGAAGTAAGTAATAGTAACAAGCTTAACAGAAGAGTGTACAGATCTTCACAGCCTTTTTTCCCCCCTACAATTATCTATAGAAAATAGCATTAAATAATACATTTTCAGGTGGGATATACCTTAAATCTGGACATCATATGTATTTCTGGATACTGTGGTAACTGCTGTTGTGTTGTCAGGGTAACAGCCTTGTGCTCAGTAGGCAAAACCAATGAGGATTAAGCAAAGCTATAATATAGCTAAGTCCCTGTGACCTTACCAGGATCAAGATCTGTCAGTTCTTCACTTTGCAAGTGTCCCTCAGGAGTGAGGGAGATATGCACAACTAAAATCATACCTGCAGTATGACTGGTATAAGTATAAGACTTGGAGTATTCTAAGAAGTGAATGCATTTCTCAGTTAGATGGATTAAAAGACTCCGTTTGTGTAAGTAAAATCTTTATAAACTAAATGATAGAAAAGTTTTCATGCGAGCTATGAATGTGGAAGAGATAATTAAATTATGATGAATTCTGGAGTCTCTTTTATCTTTGTTAAAAATTCACACAAAAATATACCAATATAAAAGTGCATTAAAATCGCAGGGATAAGAAACAAAGTTTATAGCATTCTGGGGTGCAGAGTAGTTGCCAGTAGTTATCAGCACAGTGTTCTTCTTTAGTAGTATTGATGCATGTGTTACTAAAGTAAACCTCCATTATACACATATTAATTCGCTCCAGTTTTTTGTATTAAAAGAAGTTAAACTTTTTCTGCTTAGGCATTAACTTATTTTTGCTTTTTCTAATGCAAAATAAAATATTCAAATACATTAGTTGAATTTTTATCAAAAATAAGAATGAAGGAGGATTTACATCTGATACGGTCTGGCAAAGTCCTTGGAGTTCATTGTTATTTTCTTTCTTGTATTGTTGTGTAATACTGAACATGATTTAATGTCTTTCTTAATTAGCCCTAATTTTAATTATTCATCTGCATGTATCAACCATTTTATGTTTTTTACATATCTCTTGCATTACATGTCCATTATAAAAAAAATTAAAATCTGTGTTAATTCATCTCCAGACAATGGCAGATGAACCTTTTTCAATACTGATATTTGTCCCATTTCTTGTGCTGAGAAGGGAGCATCTGAGGCAAAGTGTGAAATGAGATGTCTGATTATGATAATGGCTTGGCTTCCAACATTACCTTGTGATATATTTCCTTTCTTAGTGCTTTGTTTTTTCCTTTAGGTTAATCTAAACCTCTGGCCAAAGGCATTGGATTTTATTACTTTTGATTATTCTTTCCAGCTATCCCAGTCCTTTTTATCAGTGCTCTTGCATTTCTTTTTTTTTTTTTTTTGTATCTTATTATTTAAAATAACTGGGTGTTTTTCTCAAAATTATTGTCTCTACCATTTCATCAAAGTTACAGAAAATTTCTTTCTATAAGATACCTCTTACCAAAGTGAGTTCAGGCTTTTTGCAGCATGTTTAAAGCCATTACAGAAAACTTGAAATTGTCCTGATTTCATTGCTTCATTTCTGAGAGCAGCTACTTTCCTAATAAGATATTTCTATCAGAATGTCAGGGGAATAAATGAAGCAAGAGGACAGTGAAGACTTGGCATCTTTGTGAGTTCAATATGATGTTAGCCTTCTTAACTATATAAAATGCACAATAGAGAAGTTAGGGATGAGAGCACATTCACTAATTTAAATATTTAATGCTTACATATTTCAGAACAGGACAACATCAAAGTTTTTAGAATACATGCAGAAGTTGACTTAAAAGACTGCAGTCTAAGTTCTGGGAGAAAAATGCAATATGATGAAAACAGACCATTAATTTGCTAAGTAAAAGGATTAAGAAACATGTTGTGCCTTTTTCATTCCCATTTCTTCATTTATTATTAATTTTTTACTTTAAGTTTTCAGGTCAGGTACATAGCTGAATACTTTTCTTAATATGCTATCTACATCTCAAACTCCTTCCCCTTCTTGTATTTCTTCTAATTTTGTACAAATAAATCTGCCCTCATTTTCTCTTACTCCACCTTCTATTAGAGTATTAGAGCTCACTTATATGAATGACCTTGACCAGTAAAGACTAATTTAGAAAACAGTAAGTAGAATCCAACTTTTTTTTTTTCCATTTTCTTATAACCAACTAACTAGTTTAACAGTGTTCCAGTAAATTACTGCAAGTTACCTACTACCCTGCTGCTTTCTTGGATAATCTGAAATCCTGAGCAATAGTGATAGCAGCAGCAGCCTCCCCAGTTGTTTTGTTTGTGGAAAAAGAGGCAGATCAGCCTTTCCCAGCTCATGGAGTGCATTAGGTGAATCCAGGACATGTCATCCTCCCTGTGCATGGGCTGTGCAACTGATCCATGAGTGCATAACAAGTTTAAGATATTTCTGAAGCTGTCGATTTACTGCAGGCCATCTGTGCATGACCTAAAGCCACCTGTCCAGGTGTTCCTACTTGTTTGGTAGATACCTGTTCTTCCATGTGATATGCTTACAAATACAGTTTTCTCATTCTATTTTAATTACTAGTGTAACTTTGCTCCATCTCTTCTAAATACAATGTATCATGGACATCTAATTTGTCTGATCAAATTCAAACATGGATTCAGAAGTAGTCATTGGAAAAATATTAATGTGAAGTCAGTTTAATACAGTAATACCAATACGGGGGAAACCAGAACTAGAGTTTGAGTACTCTAATCACATCTGATTTTTCTCCCCCTTTCATCTTATATAGCTATTGACAGTGCTGTAAAATACAAGAACAGTATACAAAATCAAAGTATTCACATTTGTCATATATTGACAACTAAACCCCAGAAAAAAAAAATGAGGCTATGGAAGACCTGTGCTGTTTAGGTTGCTGATGTCAAAAGACTGAACAAAGAACTGTAGTTTTAATTAAAATAAGTGAAAGCATAATGTCCAAGCTCTGATTTAGTCCAGTGATCTTCTCAAATTGAATTCTTGTGAATTATATCCCCATAGACTCTGGAACATTAATTCCATCGCTGTTATGAGATTATGTGTTTATCAGAATAGTCTATCTTAATTATTTCTGCACTACATTGTAGTACTTTGAATTTGGATCACTGTACGTAAGACAAATATTTAAATCTGTATGTTGGATGCTTTCTTTTTCTATGGTTTTTTTTTGTGATTTACCTTTAGACTTCTGATCAACATATTTAAGAGTTAAATTTTTCATGAGTGTAGCTTAGTGGCCATAGACCACTTTCTGGATAGGTTTGGATGAGTGAAACACTCAGCCTTGAAACACACTTATTCAGGTTACGAAATACAGATGCTATGGAGGGTATATTAATTAACTGATGTGTGATTTCCTAAAAAAAGACATATAGCAATATGCTGTTGCCTATTAGTTTTAAGTCAAAGACTGTCAGCCACAGCAGCTACCTGTGAATAACTGAATGTATTTGCAGAAATCAAAGACACTAACAACTAATCTCATTCATTTGCAAATTGCTTCCCCTATTTTTTTCTATGGAAAAGGTTGCAAAATGTTTATACCAACATATTTGTATTCCTCTGCATTTGAGGAACTGACTATGAAAAATATGACTGTATTTTTTATCGTTTGTTCCATTAGTATTTATTTTACTTGAGTTTTGTATACAGAAATAATCAAACAAATAGAAAAATAGCCATAGGCTTTAACATCTATGGATATTATTTAAAGTCAGCTCACAGTAGATGTGGTTTTTGTGTAACTATGTGTGATTTACATATTGATTTTTTAGTTTACAGCCAGTTTAAACTTAGATGTAGAATTAACCCAAAACTTCAATTGTAAGACTGTTATCACTAACTTTGAGTTCATATGCTCCTTAAAGTCAAACTGTTTGACAGCAGCAGTAATCATGTTGCCTTGAGGCTTACTGTGATCCAACAAGCAGCATGCAAGCTAGATAGTTCTTAAGGGTGCTCCCTTAGGGCTCATTTCATCTTTCAGGAGACAACAAATGACTTCAAGTGGGGAGTAGTAGCAATATGCCTGTCCACATCCTATCACAGGAAGCAAGGAGGCTGCTGCAGATGTACAGAGCAGTGAAGTTGTAGCCCTGCACTGAGGGAAAGTGAAGAGTGGCTCTCACAACTGTCTTCTGTGTATAAATAGGGAAGGTCTTTCATGCCAGAATCAAAGTAGTTTGGCTTAATTACCTGTAAAAGTTGGTAATACTTGCTACCAATGGATGATATGTTATTTTATAATTTCACTTTCAGACAGTTAAAAAAGGAGATGTTTGGGGAAACCTCAATGCCTTTTGGGCTCTTTGATCTCTTGCTAAGTGTTGTGCACTTCTGCAGATTATTGATTGAAGCAATAAAAAACATGCAAGTTCTCCACTATTACTTTTATTTGAAACACAGGTGTTTCAGTTTAATATTTCAGAAGTGATAGAATCAAGTCCAGAAAATTATTAATAGAGAAATTGTGAAAGATTCAACTGATTTGCTAACATTCTTTGCTGTCCCCATTTAGAGTCTGCAATTTAGGTAGAACTCAGAAAATACTGGTGATGCTTCCTCTGAGAGATATTGCATCCTTCAGAAATAATAATATTCAGCCTGCTTCAGCCTGAGATAAAAAACACACAGAGGATCATTTGGATTACCAGTTCTGTTTTTTTAAGGGTATTAACAGGCCCACATCCAAGAAAGTGATTAATTCAGTGCTTGTTGCTTAGGATTTATATTGAGGCACATGGTTGCTAACACTGAACTATTCCTCAGGAAAAGGTATTTAAGTCCTTTAAGGCATGAAAACACAGAAATGGCTGCACTGGATCAAAGCTGTTCTTTTTTCCTATATTCAGCCTGTGGCTGGAGTTCATAACCCATTCTACAGAGAAAAAGGCAAGAATATTGCATTTACAGAGTAATCATCTTAATAAAGAAAATTTCATGTTAGGTTCTTGATGATTGTGAGGCTTGATTTACATACAAAGATTCTGCTTAGTTGAGGGCAACGGAGAAAATGAAGAAATGATTACAATTACTTTTAGTTCTCTTGAGTAAAGGAGAACAGTATGACCAATTGAAGGAAAAAAATACAGAGAAGCTTACAAATTGCCAGTGGCACAAATAGCTGACAGTGTCTTCTGAATAATCAGTATTTGATGGATATTGCCTGAGGAAGTACAAAAAAGAAATTGGGTAAAATTCAGAATGAAATTTTAGGGAGACAATATGATTGCATCTGTTGAGAATATAAGTGAGAACCTTGGATATAAAGTAAGGAGAAGCAAAAGACTTTTGGGATATTGGGTGATGTTAATTGAATGTCCTGATAGACAGGTTAGGTCACAGTCATAAGAGTTCTGATGTGAGGTATCTTAAAAGCTCCCTGTTAAGGCTCTGACAGCAAGCAAGACAAGCACTGCAATGCTGACCTTTGGCATTTCTTTTTGTACTTTGGAATTTACAGTTTCTGAGTTATAGTAGCTCAGTATATTTTCACTGCATCATTTGTTATTTTATAAGCCCACATTGTTATCTCTTTTCTAAGTCAGTGAGTCCAGGATTTCTTTTCTTTTTTGTATGGCAATTTTTTCTACACTTTTCCTTGTATTTTTAACATTGTATTAAAATTCCTGTGTGAATTCCTTCAGTTATTTTGTATCCTTCCTGTTTTGTTTTTTGTTTTGTTTTGTTTGTTTATGGGTTTTTGGTTTGTTTCTTTGTTTTTGCTTAGTTTTGGGGTTTGGTTGGTTGGATTTCGTTTTTGGTTTGGTTTATTTGGGTGTGTTTTTGTTTTGGGGGTTTTTTTCTTGATTGATTTTGGGTTGGTTTTAGAGGTTTTTGGTTTTTTTAAATAGAGTATTTTTTAAAGTGGGATCAGTAATACTAATATAGATCTGTCTTTGATTTCCATAATCCACATGAACACTGATACAACTGTCCTTCATTCTAATTCTCAGAGCAATTGTATTAAGGGGGGGGGGATGTTTGTTAGTAGGATTCTTTCGTAGTACATGCATGTGATTTCATCTTCATCATATGTACATGTAGTTGGGTTTTTTCTTTCAGTATCCACTGAGTATGTAGTTACCAAGAAAATTGTATTTGATAATGTGATTTTCAAAGTGGAAGTGAAATCTGTGAGTGTTCTCATGGTTATAGAGCAGAGCTCAGACATAAAGCACAGTCAGCTTGCATGTACTATACACTGGTGCTTGTGAGATTGGACTAGAGGTTCTTGTCATTATCTTAGTGTTGTTTCTCCCAGCAGATTCCTCTTTGAGATAATAGAACTTCTAAGAGTTGATGTTACAAACACCCTTTTTAACAGAGCAATGTGGTGTTTAGATAACCAGAATCACGGTTAGGCAAGCAGATACTTTTCATCCAGTCATCCCTTTAGTCAGCTGTCTGATATGTCCTGAAATGTTCAAGATTGTGGGTTTCAAGCCTACTGAATTCCTATGACATTAGGTGTATTTTATAGGCCCTACATTGTCTAGCAGGGCACGTTCATTACGCACAGGGTAAATGTTGCCCTGGAACTTCATCCAAGAATTTTCAAATTATGTAACATTTGAATCTTCTAAAAATATAATACACAAGCTTCAGCAGAACCCAGCAGAAAAAAACTAATTACATGCATATTTTGCACTGTACTAGACACAAGTGATACTTACCCTACTTTTGCAAGTCAAACATATGCTTTTCCCTTTAAAACTCCTTTCACATATCAGACTTCAATTTTGGTTAAGGCGGAAACTTAGACTGGTTATAACAGGTATTAGGTCTGCAGGAATGACAGATATTAGATACGTAAGTTCCTGTTTTACTATGTTAGCCACACATAAACCTTTAATATAATCTGGCATATGTACATGACTCTGCTGCATCACATTTTCTTAACAAGGTTCTGTTTAAATTTCCCATCTATTCACTGGCATTTTGACAATTCCAGAAACAGGTCTGGCAGGATTTTTTAAATAAATATTCTAATCTACTTTATAATGTGTAATTTTCTTTTCTATAGTAGTGTACAACTCAGCTTTCCCATGCAGCAGTGTTAATGTCTTTGATTACTTCATTTCAGGTAAAAATTCCCTCTAAATTTATTTTTCTTGGCATGTCTGCAGTAGACGTCTCCTGTACACTACCTTGATGAAAGGAATTGTGTAGGTTGCTAATGGCCTGCAAATATTTGCCATCCATGGTCAAAAATATAAACAGAGCTGTGCTTCAGGTTCTGCAATTCTTTGATTGAATAGGACATTAGGAAGGGACAATTATCTCTGGTCCATCTTATTATCACAGAATCATAGAACAGTTTGTTTTGGAAGGGACCTTAAATATCACGTAGTTCCAGCCCCCCTGTCGTGGGCAGGGATACTTTTCATTAGACCAGATTTCTCAAAGCCTCTTCCAACCAGGCCTTGAACAGCTTCAGGAACAGGGCATCCACAGCTTCTCTGGGCAACCTGTTCCAATGCCTGACAACCCTCTCAGTAAATAATTTTTCCTAATGTGTGATATAAACTTACACTCTTTGCAGTTTAATGACACTCCCCCTTGTTCTGTCACTATATGCCCATGTAAAAAGTCCCTGTCCATCTTCCCATCTCTTATGTACTGCTCTAAGGTCTCTCTAGAGCCTTCTCCAGGATGAACATCCCCAACTCTCTCAGCTTGGCTCCAACAGGTCTGTTGGTCTTATGTTGGAGGCCCCAGATCTCGATGCACCCACTCCAGGTGGAGTCTCACAAGACTAGAGCAGAGGGGGAGAATAACTTTCCTTTTATTGGGTTGTGTTGCGCTCCTCATCCACTTAAAGTCCCAAGTCAATCTCCATAGGTCTGCTCTCAATCCATTCTCCTCCCAGCCTGTATTTGTGCTTGGGATTGCCATGACCTTGCACTTGGCCTTGTTGAACTTCACATGGTTCATACAGACCCACCTCTCAACAAAGACTGTCTTGTACGTGTCCAGTCCCTCTGGATGGCATCCCTTCCCTCCAGTGTGGTGACCACACCACACAGCTCAGTGTCATCAGAGAACTTGCTGAAGGTGCCCTTGATCCTCCATCCCTGTCACCAACAAAGATGTTGAGATGATGTTTCCATCCCTGAGGGACACCACTTGTCACTGGGCTCCACACGGACATCAAACCACTGATTGCACCTCACTGAGTTCAACCATCCAGCCCACCAAGATACTCAAGACTGATTCCTGTTCTTAGGGCTCTCCAATGGTTCCTCTGCCACCCTGAAATCTGTTCCTTTGGATTTAGGGATTTTCCTAATCATAAACCATCTACTGATCACACTGATTTGCTTTCCCTTTATATATAAGCCTTTACTAATAATTTTAAGTTTGCATAGGGTCTAATATAACCAACTTGTACCTAGTACTATTTAAATATGCAGTAAATTTTACTTTTTCTGAAGAAATAGAGTTGGTAAAACTTCAGGTGTGTGGTCTTGTTTTTTGAACAACTCTATGGCTTTTGAGAGGATGTTATTAAAACATGTACTAATGAATATAACAGGATCACTGAGTGTAAAGTCTGTATGTAAGTTCTGCTTCTTCTGTGTATTGACTTCCATTCCTTTTTTTCTAACTGGGAGTATTATTAGAAGATAGTCTAAATTTATGTCTGAATTTTCATCTGTTTAAAATCATCATAAGTCACTTTGAAACAATGCAGCTAATTACCTTGGTGGGTTTAAAAAAGAAGAAAAAACTTTACAAAAAATATGTCTATTTTTGGAAGATATTTAAATATAAAATAGATTTCTCTGGTATGAAAAACCATTTATTAAAGAACTATTTCTTTATATATTTTTATTTATTTATTTTAAATATTATTATTATTTATATATATTTATTATATATTTTACTATCATATTTAGTAAAATAATAACTTTTTGCAAATATATTATTAGTTATTATTGTGGCTTCTTGATAGCTTAAGAATAATTTAATAAGATATTATTAAATTTAATATTAATATAAAGAATAATTTTGTATTCTTTGTCCAAATACAGTTACAAGATTTTTTTCTATTCTTTTGCATGATTAAAAAATACTTGTATTTTCTTGTGTTCTTTATCTTTCTCTCTCTTAAATTCCTTGCATTCCATTCTGTAGATTATTTCACATGTGTAAGTTACTTGTTGAACTGTCCCTCAGAAATCTAGGCATGTGTGATACAATTCAAATGTTGTTGTTGATGCCAAAACAAAATACAATGCTATTGAATTGATTCTAATAGTTAAGCAAGGGTCTAGATAATTAGGGTCTAATAGTTAAGCTAGAGTCATAGATTCATAGATTCTTTTTCCTTGGAAACAACCTTTAAGTTCATGCAGTCCATTAAGTTGTCTGAACCAGTAGCAAACACAGTAGCTGTGAGAGAATAGGAGAACTAAATCTCAGGATGCCATTGATTCAGTGTTTTTTCTTTTTGTATGATTTGTTACTTTTCTATGGTACTGCAGAAATAATTTTAATAAATTGTCTGTTTCACTGGCATTTAATATTTGCTTATCTTGTGTTGCTCTGGCTGTTCTGTTCTGCAGCTTTTCCCACGGTGAACTGAACTAATTTGCAATGTTGTCAGACTGCAAAGCAGTGGGAAAAAAAGCTAGTACTTATCTTACATTTAGGACTAAAGGAGAGGAACCTAGACATGTACACCTGCTTCGGAAAATGCTGCAATTAAAATGGATTGCACATCAACACTAATAATTTGGTGACTTTGGAGGTGTGTCCCTTCAAAACTAGTGAGTCCATTTCATTTAATTTTGGCAATTTTCAATAGTTCATTTTGTTATTCTGTTCCAGGTCTTCTACTATTACATGCATTTGAAATAGATTTTCCATTATAACTTCTGTAAAGAAAGCTCCTTCTGTTAGGTTTTTTGTTTTGTTTTGTTTTATTTTCTGATAGCTTCTCATGGCGGCACTAAAAAGTCTTCATGACACTCACAAAATTTTTACAAAGTCACTCAGTTAATTATTTCTTTCTTGAAATTAAACCCTAGATTGGTGGATATATAAATTTTTTTGTGTTGGGCATGAAATGAAGACTATGATGGACACAGTTGTAGATTAGTTCCTTAATAATATGAAGTTGGATCATGTCCTGTACTTTCCTGAGGAGTAAATCAGGAGCTTTTTCTCCTCTTGTGGGTTTCCTGACTGGAGTCACTGAAAATATCCATGAAACTTTTACCTCAGCAGTGCACCACTGTGTAATTTACCTGATTTACATCACTTTTTGCTTCTTGTTCTTGGTCTCCCACAGTATGTCACAGTGCCTGTCACCATCCTAGTCCCCCTATCAGTATTATAGTCTTAAAAATCCTGTGCTTTCCTACTTAGCTGACAAGTCCCAGTCCATACTGATCCTATTTTACTTATTAATCCAGTGAACTTGTTTATCTGAGTTGATTCAGGCGTTTTAGTGTTTAACACTACTCCTCTGTTGCAGCAAACAGTTTTTCCTATGTTTTGTGTACTGGCCAATAAGCTTTAAATTTATTATTTTCCTTCACCATGTTTTTATATGTTTACAATGTTATTAATTTGAACCCATCCATTTTGCTTTCCTCATTGTATTTCTGGTAATTTGCTTTGTATATGTTTTCATATTGGCAGTATTTTTTGAGTTAGCATGTCATATTTAACACTATTCTTAGTCAACCAATAAACCGAATCCTCCAATATCTGCAAAACAATACAAGTAAGTAATTTCTTTTGCTCTTAATTTCTTTACTTGCCCTACATTTCCACCAGTACAATATAAACTTCATGATATTACTGTCCTAAAATTGAGTATGTCTAAAAAATACATTCCCCATATTTGATTAATGAGATTAAAAAAAGGGAAATATAAAAGTTAAAGAAAAGTGATTAAATCTGAATTCCAGAATCTGAGCAGAAAGCCACAATAGGCATGAATACAAAATGTTTATGGATTGATATATGTTTTGTGTGAGAAGGCTACAATTTTCATCAAGCACAGTAGAAGGGACAAATTATTTTTGTAGGTACACAAAGTACACAAGGTGCACTAAGAAATACACTTATGCAATAGATCATACATGATTCTACATTTTTTTTCTTGTTATATGGCTCTACACTTTCAAGAGAGCAAGAAGATTAGGAAATAATAGGATTTCCAGTGTTAAATAATAAAAGGTCTGTACAAAACATTATAGGAAATTGCAGGATTTTTTTTGTTTTGTTTTGTAAATATTTATTAATTTCCTACTTTAAACCTTCTCTAATTTTCTAAGTATTCTTCTAAGTAGAAGCCATTTTCATTGAGACTGTGAAATTATTTGCATTGAATGCCACAGTAGTTTTCATTCTCAGTCTTCTTTTGCATGCTTGACAGACAGTATTTCAGATTTGAAGTAATGATGAACCACACAGTTACTGTTTTGTTGTTTCAAACTTAGAATATCTTGAAAACACAACTTAGATTTTAGCCCAGTTCTGGGTGCATGAAACTACTTTTCCATCACCTTCAAGCAGGAGGTTTCCTTTTATGATGGATTCTATGGCTGTAGACTCGTGGAAATAATTTTGATTTGCTCTGTTTGTTCAGTTCAAAGGTAAGGGCATTCAGAGAAGGAGTTTTGATTGTATTTTTATTCTTTTTAATAACAGGAGAAAACATCAAAACAAGATATTAGATCATGACAGAAATAGGAAAAAATAAATCAAATTAGAAACAATTTCAGTATAAATAGATTTATAATTACAAGCCCTTGAATTTATGTAATTACACATACTCAAAAAAAATCTCTATGTCATTGCCATAATGAAAAAGCCATCATTTCAAAAGCACTTCAGAAAGCAAAATTCAGACAGTCTGCCAGCATATTCAATTTGTCCATCTCTCACAAAAATTGTACCCTGTCTTCAGTAAGGAAATTTGTCTTCTGTCAGAAGCAAATCACAAGAATTTCTCAGAAAAAAGAACATTCCTCTCATCACTCCTTGGAATTAAAATTGTGAATATTTCTCTTCCCCCTTGCTCCCTCAGGTGTTTGATTTCATGAATATATAGGTCCCTGACCTTGGCCTGATGGACAAGGGAAGTTAAAACTGCAAGCACTTACTATTCCTTTCAGTGCATCAGTGAAAGGATGTTAGTAATATTAAATGGATGAACACACCTTAACTAATATTTAAATTATGGAAGGTATGATGTATGCCATTTTATAGTAAACAGTTTACTTAATAATACAGTTTTTTTATGTTAGTAAAAATCTGAAATACTATGATTGGAAGAAAAAGCATTAATTTTTTTTATGTATAATAAACATGCATCAGTGTATTGTATGCTTGCTACTAGAATTTATTTTATTTGGTTACAATTAGCAAATATTAGTAAACATGAACCTACAGACTGGTTATGCCCTATATTCCCTGAACTACTCTATTGAAACACAATTTTACTCTTCCTCATCTTTTTCCAGCTTCCAGATAATAACAAGAGGGCTGCTGCTCATCAGCAGTTGTGTACATTCCATATGCCAGGTTATGAATTTTATTATAGAGAAGTAAAATTGAACAGAATGTGGAAGTTGCCAAAAATTATTAATAAAAATTGTCAGAAAAACCAAGATTGCTTTCAAGTTGGGAGTGAAGTGTTCTGTAGATACACTCAGTCTTTACTTTTCTAGAGATCGTAATATTTATACCAAGATCCTAGATCCCACAATAAAATATGTTGTAAGAAGTAGACTAAACAAGAGTTACCAGGCCATATTGCCTAGCAGTGATTTCTTTAATTCTCATTTAACTTCTCTTTCTAGCTTCTGTGTTCTTTGAAGATTCTCACACATAAACCATAAAAAGTGTGTTGATATTAAAGCTTGTATTTCCTCCCTACTACAATATAAAATTTTTCACCCATCCTCAGTCTTTCATTACTATTTTATTCAAAGAAAGTATAACCAAGAGTCTCATTCGGAGTTTAGTTCCAAGACTTAAGTTCATCAAGATGAACAAGGTTCTCACATTATTTTTATGCTGGTCATTGGGGAAGATTGAAGAGAGATTAAAAGATGAAAAGAGGACTGTGTACCGCACTGGACATGAATGGAGTCTTCATAGTCCATCGGACCTGATGATATGAATCCCAGAGTCCTGAAGGTATTGCCTGATGAAGTTCCCAAGCTGCTCTCCATGATATTTGAAAGATTATGGCAGTCAGTTGATATGACAAAAAGGGAAACATACCTATTTTTGAAAAGAACAGAAAGAACAAACTCTGGAAACTAACCTGTCAGCTTCACCTCTGTGCCTGGAAAGATCATGGAACAGATTCTCCTAGCAATTGTGCTGAGACATTTGGAGGACAAGGAAATGATTTGTGACAACCAGCACAGCTTCTCCAAGGGTAAGTCCTGCCTGATCAAACTATTGACTTTCCATGATGGAGTGACCACATCAGTGGATTGAGGTATGGGTTACAGATTTAATTTATCTGGACTTCTGTAAAGCCTTTGACATGATCCTCCACACCCTCCTCTTGAAATTGGAGAGACATGGGTTTGATGGGTGGACAATATAGGTAAGGAATGGGTTTAACAGTCATGTCCAGTGGTCAGCTGATGGACATCAGTGACAAGTAGTGTCCCTCAGGGGTCCTTCTGGGACAACTGTAATTTAATATCTTCATTAATGACATAGACAAAGGATCAAGTGAACCCTCAGCAAGTTTGCAGATGACACTAAGCTGAGGTGGTTTGACCTGGAGGACAGGATGCCACCCAGAGGTACCTGTACAAGCTGGAGGAATGGGCCTATGGGAATCGCATGACGTATAACAAGACCAGGTGCTGGTGCTGCACCTGGGTGGGGCAACACCTGCAATCAACCTAGTTTGGGCATGAACAGACCCAGAGCAGCCCTGCCCAGAAGGACCTGGGGGTGCTGTGGGTGAGAGGCTGGACATGCCCTGGCCATGGCACTCACAGCCCAGAGAGCCAAACGTAGAGGAGGGACACCAAGGTTATTAGAGGACTGGAGCACCTCTACTGAGTGGAAAGACAGAGAACTGCTGTTGTTCAGCCTGGAGGACAAAAGGCTTCAGGGCCATCTAGTTTGTGGCCTTCTAGTACCTGAGGGGAGCCTACAGGAAAGATGGAAAGCAGCTATTTACAAGAGCTGGTGTCTCAGTTTAAGACAGTGTAAAGGGGAACACTCTAAAATGAGTTGCCCCCTTTATAGGTTTAAGCAATTTCTTTCCACAAATAAGGAGAAAACAAATATGAGCAAGTGTAAGTGAAAAAATAACTGTTTGCTAGCAAATGAAACTGCAACAGGCAAAACCCAGTAAATAATCACTAGATACAAAATTTCCAATGCACACTCCCCGAGAACCAAGAAAAACCAAAAATAGGTTTTTCTATTTCTGGAAATACCTTTTTTGGGATGGTGCCCCCATCAGGCAGGTGACAGTGTGAGGGGAGACAAAGGGAAAAGATGGCGGCAAACCCTGCCCCAAGATGGTGGCCTCTGCAGGCAGCAACACAGTCCGGGAGACAAAGGGAAATGATGGCAGCATACCCTGATGAGAAGGTAGGCGATATGGAGCAGTTCTAGTGGTAGGTGAAGACTTGCTGTCCCATGTGGGGTCAGCTCTGCCTCCCGCTGCCTCCTCCTGCCATGTGCAGGACTCCACCAGTGTTGCTGCTGTCTGCCAAGCAGCTGGTGTGTCCAGGGGAAAGAGCTGGCCTGTTGCCTCTCCCCTGGCCCCAGACGCTCACTCAAGCTCCATGCTGCTGACAGGGCTTGCAAAATTCACTCCAATACAGTTTTTGCTTGTGAAATACGCTTTTTCTGAGTGTCTGCTATTGCAAGCCCCCCCAAAAAACCCAACCACCTGAAGCAACCATCTCCAAAGCGGAGCACTTCACCTTCTGCAAATGCTTCCACAAAAGAGAGCTCCCTGCTTCCACGCTCCAAATTAAAAAAGGATACAAGCAGCACTATTCTTCGCTCCCCACAATCCCCACCTCAGGATTCCTCCTGCTCTGGCTGCAGCACTGGATCATAAAGAGACTGTAAGGCTTTTATGGGGCATGGATAGATATGAATCACAATAACATTTTGGGTTGCCCAAGACAACATGGAATTGGACAAGACAGGACATGGGGCAGTTGCTTCAAACTGATGGAGAGTAGGTTTAGATTAGGTATTGGGAATATATTCTTTACTGTGAGGCTGGTACCTGAACAAGTCACCCAGAGAAGCTGTGGATGCACCATCACTGTGAATGCTCAAGTCCAGGCTGAATGGGAATTTAAACAACCTGGTATAGTTGAAGGTGTCCATGCCCAGGGGCAGGAGGCTTGAAACTAGGTGATCTCTTAGGTCTCTCCCAACATAAGCCATTTTACAAATTTATGGTTCTATTCCCACATTGTCCTCTTACCGGATACCAGTGAAAAGAGCACAGCACCTCCCTCTGAACTCCCTCTCCAGAGGGAGCAGTACAGAGCAATTAGTTTCTCTCAACTAAACAAAGTTTGCTATCATTCAGGTTCAAATCTCTAAGTTCTTTTCTATGGATCTAGTCCTGATTTTCAGTTTGAACATGTTTATAGGTTTTTCTGTGTACATTAACACAGAAAAACAGTTTGAAACAATGTTCTTAAAATTATCATATTTTAATATTTTTTATTACTATTTCTGATTCTTCATTGCTTGATGTTTAATTTTAGCATTTGAAAATTTAGTGCCACATCAGAATGACTTGCAACAGAATGACAGCAGATTTCAGAGCCTTCTGAAACACAATCCAAGATGGTAACATATAAGAGAGCTCATGTGCATGATGCAGAGCAGCTGAGAGCTCAGAGCCTCCAAGAAGAGCCCAAGACACTGAAAAGGTGACTACTTATTTTTATAGACTTCTGAAGAAGTATTTCCTGAAGGTTATGTGCTTAATGAGTTAGTTAAAGCCAGTGTGAAGGCGTCCTGATTCTGTGCTACACGCTCACGTTTATAGAAGCACAAAGAAAAGTGGTGCGCGTAGAAACAAAGCCAATGCACTGTTACGAGACCTTATAAATGTTCCTATTTAAAAATCACTTAATATCAAGTTTGAAAGTATTTGCATATTGTAAAGCATGGAAAATATTTATAAATTTGAAGACAAAGTGTACATATCACAACTTATATGCATTTGAGATGTCCTTGTAAAAGAGTTTTGTCTCATTGTTCTTTTGTAAAGAAAAGACGAAGCCTTGTACAAAAGCAGGAAAATGACAGGAGAAGGGCATCTATAGTGGGTATGGCCTCAGAACATCTTGTACTTCTGTGTAGCTATTCTGATGAAATAAAAAAGGAGGAACAAATTTCTTTAGACATGGGAACACTCATCCAAAGCAAAATTTGTAGTTTCTGTAGAGGAAATGGCCAGGTATCAGGGTGTTGAACCACACTGACAAATGCCTTGAATAATTTGGCATGCATTTTATGTGGGTAATGAAGGGAAAATGTCTTGCTGTGGTTATTTATCTGTTCCATTGCCACTACATGAACAAGAATGGCAAAAAAATGCCCCCTCACGTATCTAGAAAAGAAAATGCAAGCCTTATGCAAAATACTAAAAAATTTTTAAGAAAAATTTTAAGTATCTTATATATTATATATTTTAACTAGTTTTGTCTTTATGTACAAAAAACATTTTTCTACTCCACTCCACCTGTACGTGTATGTATTTGTAGTGCACTTTAAATGAGTGTAATTTGTATGTTTGTTACTTCTTGATGATCTGAGACTTGCTATTCAGCAGCAATGTTACCTGATGATATTCCCAGTTTCTGGGCTATATTCAGACCAGAAACATGTACCATACTAGAACTAGAATTCAAGTGAAGCTCTGAAATGCATATTAGGCACTGATCAAAAACTCTTTTTCTTTAAAGATGTGCTTCTATTGCACCAAATTTTTTGTTGATGCAAATGAAGCATATAAAGATATAATTTTCTGATAATGGTAATTCAAAGATACATGTTCATCCTCAAATATTGACAATCTACTATGATACTGATAAGGAGTCATTATTTAGAATTTATGGTGATACTTTAAATTAATTTTACAACATCTACTTCTTGATATAAAAATTGTGATTTATGACTGCAGTGGCTATTTTATTTTAGTGGCTATTTTTATTTAGATTAATATTATAGGTAGCTGTTAGGTCACTGGTCACTGTTCAACTGTGGAGAAAAGGTAGAGTTTTTTTTTTGCTTTTACAACATTTTAGTCATCCACTTTAAAAAAAAAATCAAAAAAGAAGAAAGAAAAAACTAAAAGAAAGAAAGAAAAGTAATTTACTCAAGTCTGGTGCCTGATAATCTCATCTACTTTCTTTCTGGAAGGTTGCTTTCCTTCTTGCTTAATTACATTTGCCTCAGGTAAATGTAGTGTATTACTTCAGAATTATTTGGTTGTATATTAGGGCCAACTGAGGTCTTTTGTTTCAGCCTATATATTTGAACACAAGATGTTGAATATTCAACATTACTTAGGAAGAAGGAGACAAAATAAAATAATAGCCAAGATTCAAACAGCCATTGTACAGGTTACCAAGCCACTATCAAGACTCACATAAAAGCTAGTGAAGCAAAAAAACTCTTGAGCAAGAAAAGAGAAGCAAAGGCAATTATCATCTATATTATTTTAATGCTAATTATATTAACTCAAAAAACATGATTTATGTGAGCATTTACTCTTACAAATACTGTACTTGCACCATCCAAAACCTTCTGTTAAAATAAAACAGTAGACTCAACCAGCAAAGATTGGGCTGACTATTTATATGATTATGATTCTGCATTGTTTTTTAATAGGAATTGCTTTGATGTAAGAAGTTCTTATTGAATTAATACCATAGGTATTAATTTGATTGCAAAAACTATTTTGGCTTCTTGTCTAATGAGTACAATATGTGAAATAAAAATATTAATGTTGCATCCTGATTTGTGCATTATGAAGTTTTGCACCATAATGTTTGAACTGTTCTGTAACACACTATGAAAATGTCTGCTCTACCAGTTTTTACGAATAGGCAACAGTGACAGATGCACTGAAATATAGAATATACTAACATAGTTGCTTGATTAACTATCAGGGATATGTTCATGCTACCAAATATAAAGCAAATCATAGTCTGGAATATATTGTTTCAAGTCTTTGCACCGTGAGGATCATGTACTCTGCTAGAGCTCAATGCAAAATCATAATTATTCTGCAGAAAGAACAGCTGCAAAATTCTAGGGTTTTCTGGCTGGTGGAAGTAGATGTGGCTAGGAAAGGGGAAGAGGGCAAGGAAGTGAAAGGTGTAAGATGGAAATAATTTTGCATTTATTCTTGGTGTAGCTAATGCTTAAAATACATTCAGTGTAAGCATTTCTGTTGTACTAACATGACATAAAATTCCATAGTACTTGCTCTATTGAACCTTCTTTATGTTGCTTTGCGAAGAGAAAGGAAACAAAATTCTGTCTTACGTCTTCAGAGCATATACAAGGAGATAGAAAAGTTTGAGAAGTCTATGACTGGAAATGCCACTGCAGTACACAGCCATGTAGCATTTGGATGTTAAATTGTTAAGACAGGGAGATCAAGAGATCTAAGAGCAGCCCTGCCCAGAAGGACCTGGGGGTGCTGTGGGTGAGAGGCTGGACATGCCCTGGCCATGGCACTCACAGCCCAGAGAGCCAAACGTGTCCTGGGCTGCATCCAGAGCCCCGTGGGCAGCAGGGGAGGGAGGGGATTCTGCCCCTCTGCTCTGCTCTGCTGAGACCCAGCTGGAGCATCCAGAGCTGGGGTCCCTGCATAGAAGGGACAGGGACCTGCTGGAGTGAGCACAGAGGAGGCTGCCAAATTGATGAGAGGGGTGGAGCACCTCAGCTGTGAGGAAACGCTAAGATGTATAGGGTTGTTCAGCCTAGAGGACAAAAGGTTTCAGGGCTAACTAATCATGGCCTTCCAACATCTGAGGAGGCCCTACAAGAAAGATGGAGAGCAGCTATTGACAAGAGCACAGAGTGGCAGGACAAAGGGGTATGATTTCACACTGATAGAGATTAGGTTTAAACTAGATATTAGGAAAAAATTCTTTACTGTGAGAGTGGTAAGGCACTGGATTGATTGCCCAAAGAAGTTTGGATGTCCCATCTCTGGAAGTGTTTAAGGCCAAGTTGGATGGAACTCTGACCAACCTGTTATACTGAAAAATATCTCTGGCCGTGGCACCATGGCAGTGGGGTCTTTGCAGTTGTCTGTCATGAGACTTAGTTACTATCTCTTTTTCTGCCTGTCCCCCAGTTTTTTATTATTTGATACTCAATGCCTTCCCACTTCTTCCTGTGACTGCAGTTCTTCAAAGTGTGGGTACTTATAACAGCCTGCCTAGGCTCTTTATTCATAGTCAGTAAGAAATAGCTCAGTGAAATTTCTTTATTTAAAATAGGTAAGATGAGTCACCTTCTTTAAGAGCCTGTTTCTCTTCACTGACTGTGTAGAGACCCCCACTGAGCCACAAGCTCAGCTATAGATAGGCATGTGCTTAAGTGAGGTGAAATTTGTCATTTTGAAAGTGTTGTCTGACGAGGAATACACAATCACCTCAAAGTGCAGCTCAGTTGGACCCATTAAGGACGGAACATTACTTTCTTGTCCCAAAATGGCCACATTACAGTGACGTTTCTAGCATGTATTTTACTTGGCAAAGTTGAGTGTTTTGCTGTTACCTAGTTCCCAATAGTACTTTCAGGATTGCTTCTTCAAATTACAAATTTCTCTACATCTCCAGATTTCTTTTCTTAACACTTATTAAATAAAAATCTTTTGCCTTCATTAATATCCCTGAAGGTATGAATAGATCCTGGAACTTTGATGCAGGCTAGAAGTTAATGAATAAAGAGTGTATTTTTTAAAAATATGCTAATAAGACATTGCGTGAAATGGATATAGACACGTTAACAACTTTCAACATAAGAGTAAAAACATTTCAGGGTAGGAATGGGAAATCCCCTAACTTGTTTCTATTTCCCAAACTCGCTAAAATGTCAGAAAACTATCCTGGGAAAACAAGAAGCTGTTAAACTCATTAAATGTTTAATCTTGAGATTGTATGGGTATTTTATCTCGGGCACTGAGTTACGGTGTTGAAACTCCATTACTGAGGGTGGGAAGGGTCAAACAAAATCAAAAGTAAGAGGAACAGGGAGAAGTTAGGATGCAAAACCTCAGTTTCAGCACTGTTAAACTGTACTGTCTACTCATGAAGTAATTTCCAAATTTAATACAGCTGCTTTTCACTAAATTGAATCACTGAAATTCCACTTGCCATAATCTGCAGTCCCTTAGTCTGATGTCAGGATGTGTACCTTTGTCTTAGCCCCTAAAATTCTTAATTCAGGTGTGATTCATGAGGTTCTATAACTATTCTAAATGACTACATGTTCAGTCTCTGTTATTTAAATAATTACATTTTCTGTAATTTAAATTGTGTGACCTTCTAATTATGTCTTAAAGAATACTGACAAAGTATAACTGAAGTAAGAATATTTATGTTGAGCTTTATCAGTGCCATGAGTTTAATTCAGTAGTTTTCAGCTATGCAGACATAATGAGAAATTAACTATCATTAAGAATTATCTCATTTGTTGGCTTTTGTTCACCTCTTGTTAAATTTAGCTGCAAATTAGCTGAAGACTTTTACGAGAAATTAATGAATAGACATACAATTACACACAAAATCTTGCTGTTCCTTGTAGGTCTAAAAAGAGTTAAATTAAACATTGATTTTTTCCTGTTAATTAAAGCATAGTATATTGTGGTGCACAATAGAATTTATACATAGAATTTTTGTGT